CCTTTGGGCTCAAGTCACAGGTATTTCTGGAATCTAGCAAAGATCTTTGCTGTGGGTCTAAATATTAACCACCTCAGAATGATTACCCACAGACGTGTCAATATTAATCACTATAATTCTTTTTTCTCACAGTTTGCAGTAGTAAATAGTTTAAAACAGAGTTTTAGCGTTACATTGTTCCTTTTTTATTTTTATTTTAGTTATCTTTTATGTCAGATGTATTGTGTTTTGCTCCTGCTGTAAAGATTACTGGATACACAAATTTTGGATAAAAAAGTATAAGTTATGCACTTTCTTTGAGCTGTACTTTGCCTTTGCAGTTACAATATATACTGTTTTTGCATTGTTCTCAATAAAAAGTTTGGAAACATTTCAAAATAATTATACTAGACAGAACATATGAGTGGCTCCTTACTGACTGTCAATAATGCATTATAATAGTTACATTTTTTTTTATAAAGAAAATCGACTTATTATAATACTAAATACTAATACTGAAGGTTTTATATATTTGGATCATAATGTGAAGATCTAATTACTAATTTAGGAATCAAACTGGTCATATGCATATGTCATACAATCTTGAACTTGCCGTACATAACTGAAAAGAGACTTGTGCCCATCAAAGTCAGACTTTCTCACATCTATATTTACTGTTGGTCCAAAAGAAGGCAAACATCCACTTTTGAAGTGCTTTACAATTTTGCAACAAACTAGGAAAAACAATCCTCTATGATCTTAGAATGGTAGTCAGATCTGACTTTGGATCAAGAAGCTGTTAACCCACAAATTACATATCATGTCCCTGAATATTCTGTTTTTGAAAGTAACGTAGTAATGCATAGATCAAGGATAGGCAACTGCACTTTACTGTGGATTTGACAACAGTTTTCATATTGCTCTACCAAAACACTGACAAAATGTCTACTTTGCCCAGATATATTTTCACAAACACCTGTAGAGTGATTCATATACTATGCACTATGACACACTCTCTCTTTTCCCTTGTGATCTTTGTATCTACTCTCAGGCAATTCTTCCGGCTTCTTGCTGTCTTAGTTATCTCTATCACATACAGAAAGGGCTTTTTGATGTAGAATTCAGTTTGTAGAGGTCTGGTGCTTCATCTCCACCACTGCTGTGCAATGCATTTTACTGTAAAATCTGTTGAAACTATGAACTTTAAATTAAATTTCTGATAATTGTAATTTTTGTTTTCACAAAAATATATTTCATAAAATGTTTGTGGAATAATTATGCTCCAATTACAGTGTTTTCCAGATAAGTATAGATTAAAATTGGGTAGACATGTTAGTAAGAGACATTTACCTTTAAATCCATAAAGTCTAAATTAAAAAGAGAATCAAAAAATAAATTATGTTTTGTTTGCATGACCTTCGCATGAGAATTGGATTTCTTATTATAAAATTCTAGCTATTTGATTATATCAGGTTATTGAAATGTCAGACATTCAATAAATATATTCCATCTTAAAACATCTTTGCTTCTTTATTAAAACTTTGATAAAACCCATTCTATTTATTGTACAAGTCATAAGAATGCAATTAGTGTTAACTAAGTTACTAAGTAATTAAACATTTTCAACTTAAATAAGTAAGTCTCAGCAAGATAACCATTAGGTTTATTATCGACTTTAGATACCTGTGTGTTTTATTCTTGAAATTGTTAATTTAGTCTTTCTTCCATCTATGTACAATAAAATATGTATTATTAAGCTGAGTAATTATTATATTAATAGGGTCGTTCAATAAACAGAAGACTGTGTTGCATTCACAACCAACTTTCAAAGTTTAGGCCAAAATAGATTAGTTGAGAAATTATCTCAAACTCACTTATTTAGACCTTAATTATAAATTATGTGTTATGTATTTAGCCACATTAACCATGTAGTATTACGATGTATATTAATAAATATAAGTTATATGTAATTTTTTTTTGGCCTTAGTTTTACATAATGTATTTGTAGCTATAATTTTGTTAAATAAATGAATTTGTTAAAAATGTATTTAAGTGGTGTACTTATAGACCGGGGATTATCCAATAGTAATAGTTGGATACTTTTCCTTAGCCTGTTGGGTAAAGATGAGATTTATAAATGGCAACATGTAACAAGTAGCCAAAGTTAGTGTTATCCACAAAGTGGATTTTTTGTGGGGTTATATAAAAAATAAATATACAACAAAGCATCATTATATTTATTTAACTACTATACCAGGCTACTAGAAGCAGATTTTCTCCAATAATTGTCATAAGAACTTAGCATATTTTTCCAATTTTTGAAAACTACATAGGCCATTTTTTCCGAATCTTGTTGACACTTAAAATGTGTGACCAACACATAGCAAAATATGCATGTATGAATGTTTTTTTTTTTTATCAGCGACTCTTTGCACATGTTTTAGCATTGCTAAACTCATTAACTCTATATAAAACTAATAATCTATCTGTCTTTCTCTCTCTCTCTCTCTCTCGATGTATCAATCATCTATCTATAATCTCTCTCTCTCTGTCTGTCTATATATTTCCTTGTCTTACAGAATACTATGCTTTATTTAAATATTATTGTGCACATTTATGCATTTTGTACACTCATGTATTTGGTTGCATATACTTGAAAAAACATGGGAATACCATTCATTCCTTTCTCTATCTCTTTAAGGTTATATTTTTCTGTTAATGCTATGCCACTTACTTTCATAAAAGTGCCAAATTGTACTTTCTTGCTTCAGTGAATTTTTACTCAAAACTAGAGGCTTTGCCGGCCTTTAAAGCAGCTTTAGATAACCATATTAGTTTAAGGGGATTAATAGGAGCTAGCCTTGGTGCTGATTTGCTAATCAGCATAGTATCTAGGTTCTCAATACACTTGGAGCTTTTTAATAGGCTACTGGCAGAAGTTTCCTATTCCCTTCATATCAAAATATTTACTCTGATTGGAGCACAAAAATATTTTCTATATTTCTTTAATTTAACTGTTGAGCGGATTATTTATCTGGCATTATTTGTGGTATTATTATTATTTTTTTTATAGATAGTCTTTTTTCAATTTCATCTTCATTAGAATGGAATTTGGAATAAAATAAAAATAAATGAAGTATGGTATAAATAAAATATAAATACGCCATTGCAGCTTTTAACAAATGCAAAATGTATTCTTGGTTTCCAAAATAAAAACATATATAAGATTCATGATTTTTTTAAAACCTTTTGGAAACATAATATGTTAATTTTCATTCAAAGTTTTACTATTTATTTAGAAACACAATCAGGTTAATTATGTAATAAACATAGTAGAAAACTACTAAACACCTTAATAAGGTAATTTGGCAAGAACAGAAAAGCAATTAAGTAAAACTCCTAGAACCATAAATTTGACATGTTATTTTGAGCCAATAGCTGTCTTAGACAAAACAGAATAAGGTTATTATACTTTACAATTGAAGTAAAGTCAAAACTGGTGTGTTGCTTCAATTGGTATATATTTTTTAATTATTTGCATATATTTCACAAATTACTAAAAACAAAAAATACACCAGAATGTTTTAAATTAAACGTATTTTTGAGTGTGGATTATATCTGTATAAATGTGGTTGTATATTGTTTGCAAATCTTAGTAGAATAGACTTGCCTGGACCCAGCAACTACATTTTTGATACAATGGGTTGTACAGTTTAGTATATAGTTTGCTGACATGTAATTAAAAAAAAAAAATAGTGGAAACAAATACAAAATAAAGTCTGTTCCGAGTATCAGTTTACCAATTAAATTCATGTTACATAATTAGCAACACAGCAATATTTAAAATATTTTCATTACTCTATAAATGACTAATCATGAAGCATCATTTATCAGACCATACCTCTGCCATAATTATATGAATCATTAAAGGAACACTCAAGGCACCGAAACAACTTCATCTAAATTATGTTGTTATGGTGTCAGGAGGCCCTTGGAGGTACTCCTACCTCAAGGGGTGAAACTGGTCTTGAATAGTTTAACCCCAAAGTTGCCTCCAGCACTCCTCTGCACTCCCCCATGCTTCCAGTTTCCGAATTTTCAGTCAGCTTATGCTCTCAGCCAGTCAGTTTAATGAATGTGGAGTCACTGATTGGCTGGGAACATCAGCTGACTGCTCTCAGCCAATCATAGCCAGCCGTACTCTGTGCTTCCTGAATCTGAAAATTCAGAAGCAGGGAGCCTTTGGGGGAGTGGAGACCAGCACCAGAGGCAACTTTGTGGTTAAACCAACCCCTGGAGGTAAGAGCGCCTCCAGGGAGCCTCCTGGCACCATAACATCTTAATATAGATAAGGTTGTTTTAGTACCTGGAGTGTACCTTTAATTTATTTTACTGTCTGCTTATTTCTTCCCAGTGATGTGCATGTGCTCATTTTAACTTTTATTTTGCATTACTCCTAAAGATCAAACTACATTATTACTTGTTCCAGAGCTGTTATTCACACTGAAGATATCCTAATTTAGGTACTAGGTCTGCATTTTCTCTGTCTTTATCTCTGCAGAGAGATTGTAAATGGTATACTTCCTTCATGCTCCAATACGGTACAGTCGGGGTGCCCAAAAAGTAGGTCCCCCAATGTTTTAAAATGACAGCTTCCATGATGAATTTTAATTCTACAAAATCTGAGGATCTATATTTTGGGTTCCCCTGCTCTATAGCATCCATTCCTTCTTATTCAATACGCTACAGCAATACACTGCAAGATTGAATTATGTTTATTGCAAAAAAATCTTGGTGTAATTGTACGTATTGCATATAAGCATTATACTCACATGTAAGTTTTATATTTTTACAATTTGGTGATATTTTTAGAAAGTTATGTTTACAATATGCTAGGAGGCTCTTTGCAAACATTTCTGCTACATTGTATGAAATATTGCAAGGTTAGGAATAACATATAGTCTTTAAAACTGTAAACCTTTTAAATGAGATTTGGGTAAATGTTAAGAACTTATGTTGTTGGACAGTTAATATGTACTCTCTCTCTCTTTCCCCCTCTCTCTATTTATATATAATGTCCCGACTCTCTCTCTTTCTCTGTCTCTCTCTCTATATAATATATATCATCTATCTATCTATCTATCGAGATAGAGAGAAAGAGGGGATACATTTTATATAAATAGAGAGAGAGAAAAAGAGAGAGAGAGTACATGTTAACTGTCCTACAACATAAGTTCCTTACTATCTATCTATCTATCTATCTATCGAGAGATAGTGAATTTAATTTCAAATGTGCTTTGATTATCATTCTTTGTTCATTATCCTCACTATATTTTAGTACATTCCAGCTGATAGTGTAAGGAGCACAATGAATAAGTTATTAGTCTTCATAATGAATTAATTTATATACATTAAGAAAGGATCAACTTAAATTGAAAAAAAAATCATCTTATAATAATGAGCAGATAAATCTGTGCAGGAAATAAAATGGTATTGAGTAAAATACAATATAGATTAGTAAAGGGAAAATCAATAATATATTAAATATGAGTTAGTTGGGTATTTTTTAAAGACTTCTGTATGAGTAATAAAACTCTGTTACAAAAACTGGTCTTATGGTCATTACATTAGGTGTCAAGTAAATTATTCTCACATAATGAAATGCTCAGTTCAAACCATTGATTACACACATGTATGTAACAGGCCTCAAACAAAGATTGTATTTTCACAAGACTTTATTAAACTTTATTAAATAAATAGTATTTTGTCTTTTGACTATATTATTGTAATATTTAGTTCACAATAAAAATGTAAAAAATATTCTGGCAGAGCAGACCGAGACCAAGACCGAGACCTACTAATTGGTGAAAAAAGGTAACAGGGGCTAGAGTTGTTTACAGCTTTATAGATAAGGGCTAGTATTCTGAATTTACTCCTATAGTGTACTGGAAGCTAATGTAAGGATTGACAGAGGGGCGAGGTGTGAGAAGAGTGACTGGAGAGACAAATCAGCCTGGCGGCATCCATTAGTACAGGCTGCAGCAAGGCAGTATGGTTTCTGGGGAGAAATTGTTGAGACTTGATGGGATGTAAGATTATAGAAAATACCTGGTTTTATACAATAGCAGTCAGATGAAAAATTAACTGACACTAATGGGTCACATTCAGAAAGGAGGCAAACATTTGCTTGGCCCAAGAATGTGAAAAGGTTATGGATAACAATCACTGTTATACACACCAATGATTCACCATTATAGACTCTACCAATTTCAGCTTAAATGTAGCTCTCCCATGCACTTGAAAGTCCTCCATATGTCCAAGAAGATTAATACATGCCTGTACCAATGTAATAATTCACCCTTTGTATTAAAACAACAATTAAATATTTTCCTATTGAGCTCGTTCCAGACAAAAAAACTAAAGGAATTTTCTTTTCATTGGTAAAAAAAAAAGGTAGGTGCTATCTTTAAATGAAAATAAAGGTTATTTAGATGATTTTAATTAAATTTGCCATTGAGGAAACAGAGAAAGGATGGAGGCTTCTATTGGCTTTGATGTCAATAAGAACACCTGATTGATTGTTATTGACATCTATCAAGAGGAAATTAATTCCATTAGAAAGGCATAATTAGTTTTATTCATGGAAGGGCTTGAGGGGAATTTGAAAACAAGGCAAATCTGAGATGAGATCAAGAAGTGAGCAGGGTCACAGTAATAGAAGAAAACCGAAGCCTGCTGGCTGGTAGATCCCTTTCCTCACTAAACAGTGTGTTTTGTGCATCATACTGTACCAAACCAGATAAGTGATGGATGCATGCTATCACTATGTTTTGGATCCATGATGTATGTCTGATATATAGATCACATGTATAGATCACATACAAGAATATCGCTCTCCCTATGTATTTTTGTGTCTCTTTTTCTCCCTGTTTCCTCTGTTGCTTTTGTAACAATCTGTATACTTTGAAATATCCACACATTGTAGAGACTTACTTGACTATTATATGCATAAATAGACATAGTTGCTCTTCCATGATCTGTTTAAAATAAAGAATTAAAAAATGATTGATAAAAAAACTAAAAATGAGTAATTCATAAAAGTAGAAGAACAGAATATATTTAAGAAAAGACTGCATGTAGATGAGGAAAAAAAGGAGACTCTAAGTAATACTTACAATATTTACCAGGAAAAAATGAGAACTCTATTTTCCCAGGAGAGAGTTGGATTATTTTTTTCTGAGTGTTTAACAGAGTGAAAACAAAGGGATGTAAGCTGCAAGGGATGTTAGGTGAATGAGAAGAATGTCAGGGAGGGCTTCCATAATTTGCACATTTCCCAGCATGTATGATAGGATTCCTAAATAATATAGAACATACAAACTGAGTGTTCATTTTGATGAAATATAAGATGCAGACACTGAAACTACTGGGAAATGTAGTTGTCAGGACTTATTATAAGAAGTAATGGATATTCTAATATTTCACTACAATTGTAATATAAAGCACATAAACTGAAATAAATATATTATTAACTCAATTCAGGTCAACAGATGGCAAGGTGTTTTCACATACTGTATGGTGTGAGCTGGGCGTTTGTTTAAGACAGTTATGCAAGACATGTTAGGGACACAACCATAACAGGTGGGTGTGTGCTTATGTCTATTGACAAAGATAGCAAAGAATAAAAAAAAATAAAAGAATTTCCCTTGAGCAGAATCCAATTATTTTAAGATGGTCTCACGACTTTACAAAAACAGATGTTTCTTACATTCTTTACAGAAACAGTCAATGAAATCAGTCTTAACAAAAACATCTATCTATTTAAATGACTTAAGGAAAATGGAAGCAAATGACTTCAAATAACATTGAGGAAAGCAAGAATGTATAAAATAATCAGTAGAATTTAAAACAGAATATATACAATATAACAGTGCGCAATCTGGAATTATTTTAAAAGGAATGCCTTTGTGAAATGCTTATAGTAGTCAACTGGTGATAAACAAGCAGCTATATATTATATTTCTAATTACCGACCGATGTTATTATTTTACTGGATAATATATAAAATGAACATTCATCTGCTTTTTTTTATCTACATCAATTTGGTGATATACTCATTATATACGTAAGAAAGGAAATAAACAAAAATAAAATGAACTTTCCATGAACACTCATGAGGAGGACCCCAGTGAGACTAAATGCAGAGTTTCACCCTTAAAGTCACCATATATTGTGTCAACTAGATCCTGGTTTAGATATGCGCAATTATTGTTAGGAGAAATGTACGCAAGGGTTGTAGCTGTTGATAAGTGAGCTAATCTAAATTGAAGAGGAACTGCCACTTCCAGAATAGTGATAGTTCCTGCTCCTTCACCCCTGTACACACAGTTACAGTGTTTACTGGGAGCAGTTGAGGTAGGTAAAAAAATAAACTTACCTCTTCTGCACTTCTGCCTTTCACTGTCCCATGATGCTTTGGGAATATGTCTACACATGAGCATCTAATGGCGAAAGTTAGTATGCGTGTATGCATATTTGGAATTCTCCAAACAGTGCTATTCACATACATGCACTAGGCACACATCACTGCAATACATAGCTCCTTTACATACTTTGCCCATCCTTTGCAGGCAAAGTTTGTAACCTTAAATCTAAAAAATATAAAGAGTTAAAAAAAAAACCTTTTAGCACAACCAATAGTTATCTTTTAAATGAGCACTATATGGTAAGAAACACAAACATGTATTCCTGACCCCATGGGGCTAAAACCACTATCTAGCCACCCTGTCCCCCTCATGCCTCCCTAAAAATAGTAAAATCTTACTTGTATTCAAGCCTGAAGCTGTAACTCTGCATGCTGTTTGCCTCAGAAAAACAAGCTGTCTGCTGACATCATCAGAAGTGGTGGCCTGATCCAATCACAATGCTTCCCCATAGGATAGGCTGAGATTGACAAGGAGGCAGATCAGGGCCAGAGCCAGCACAACTCAAACACAGCCCTGGCTAATCAGCATCTCCTCATAGAGATGAATTAAAATAATGAATCTCTATGAGGAAAGTTCGGAGGAAGGAAATACTGAATGTTAGGCATTTTAGGCAGCCATGACCCAGGAAGGATCTCTAACAGCCATCTGAGGAGTGGCCAGTGAAGTTATCACTAGGCTGTAATGTAAACACTGCATTTTTTCTGAAAAGACAGTGTTTACAGCAAAAAGCCTGAAGATAATGATTCTACTCAGCAGAACAAATTCAATAAGCTGTAGTTGTTCTGGTGACTATAGTGTCCCTTTAACTAAAATGGAGGAAGTAGCAGTTTTCCTTTAAGGACCGGTTTTACAACTCAATATATAGTATATAAAACCTGCTATTTGTATCCTAGTATAGCAACCTATGTTTTTCATTACTTTCTTTCTTTTTTTATAAATAATGATGTATGTCCTGATGGTATCCATATGTCTTCAAGTTATAGTTAGTCTTTAATGCAAGCCTTTGATGACTAGCTTAACTTGACTTGCTAAATTAAGAACTACATAGACAAGTCAATTAAGCTTTATTCCAAATGTGGATATTTTTAAATCAATTATGCAGATTTTATTTACAATTTACCTTAATTCTCTATTTAGTGACTAAACAAATTTTTTTAAATATACTGACAACATGTACAAATACATTTAATCATGTTTCAGTGAGTTTTACCTAACAAAAGGAAATACTTGCAGACAAAAAAATTTTTTTTGAAACATCTTCATTGAAGACAGGTCGTGCTATTGCAGCCAATATCTGATAGCACACAACAAATATGTACTTTATTTCATTCAGTTGCCTTTCATTATTTAAGAAACTATAACATTACTAAATAGCCAGTGTGGGATGTATGGACTTTATAGTAACTGTGAATTACAAAAAAAAAAACTGTACATTTTGTCCAATGTAGCTAGGTCCTGCTCCCCCGGTCTTCAACTATCTAGTCAATAATTATTTCTGATATTTGTTTGCTCAACGACATTACTCAAAAATGATCTCTAGTTGACGACACTAGTCTATAGTATTAATATTAGCCATGAAATGGCTACTGTTTGAATTATTTTTGTTACAAGACCCCTTGAGCATTTAAAGTACCAGATAAAAGTAAGTTTTTTCACAACTAGGAGATATTTGTTGCTAGCTGTGTGGCATTTGAGGAAGGTGTAGTTCAACTAAAACACTTGGGCACCCACAAA